GGTTACCGAGTTAGCCCCGTTTTTCGGGTCACTTTTCGCACATTCCATTATTATAAAACTTCGTTTATACAACAATATATATGCACAACAGAAATTAAATGACGAGATGAAAATATAACGACGCGTTGAAAGAACAACAATAAAATGGACTTACAATATTATTGGCTATTTGTAAATAGTAACTATGGAGACGAGGTAATAAAATAAAAATCAAGTCGAGAACAGCAACAAAATTTTATAAACGAAAAGCTCTCGCTGAACATTGGCTATTATATTATTTCCCTGTCACTGTTCCCATCTTTATTAAAAGGCGTAAGATGACAAAACAAGATCTTGAAAAATCTATCTATATACTATTCAGACTCTGAGATTGTTTGTTTGTTTGCTTATTTTCTCAGTCAAAAAATTATTCACACTACCGTTCGCGCTCTTTACGAAACTTCTTACTTCACTTTCTTGAAAAAATGAAATGGTCTTTCCTTTTACTCCCGATCAACAATCACATATCTTTTCTAGAATTATGAATAACGTGAATTGATTGAAATATTTAATTAAATTAGCTCAAAATAAACCTTCATTTCGGTGCAATATTGAAATTAGCTTGAATTCTTCATAACCTCTCAATAGTGGTTGACCAAACGGGTCACGGTGGTCTAGTCAATGTTTTATTGAATGCGGATAAGTCATAAGTTAGGTTATTGTTAGTGTCGCTAACAATCTTTCCTGAGTTGTAAACTTTATCTTGTATAAGCTAAGTTATTGTTAGTCTTGCTAACAATCTATCCAGAGTTGTAAATTTTATCTTGTATAAGTTAAGTTATTGTTAGTGTTGCTAACAATCTATCCAGAGTTGTTAACTTTACCTTGTATAAGTTAAGTTATTGTTAGTGTTGCTAACAATCTTTCCTGAATTGTAAACTTTATCTTTTATAAGTTAAGTTATTGTTAGTGTTGCTAACAATCTATCCAGAGTTGTAAACTTTACCTTGTATAAGTTAAGTTATTGTTAGTGTTGCTAACAATCTTTCCTGAATTGTAAACTTTACCTTGTATAAGCTAAGTTATTGTTAGTGTTGCTAACAATCTTTCATGAGTTGTAAACTTTATCTTGTATAAGTTAAGTTACTGTTAGTGTTGCTAACAATCTTTCCTGAATTGTAAACTTGACCTTGTATAAGCTAAGTTATTGTTAGTGTTGCTAACAATCTTTCCTGAATTGTAAACTTGACCTTGTATAAGCTAAGTTATTGTTAGTGTTGCTA